CCCTATCGGTAGTTTTATACACGGCCGGAACTTCCAGCATAAAAGCCGCATCGCCTTTCTTAAACCGGAAATATACCTGTGCCGTAAGGGCCGGGTCGTTTTCCGGCAGGCCAATCAACTCCTGGTCATCCACCTGGTAGATGTACCGGTAAGGAGATTGCAGCCAATAGGGTTGTGAGTTTTCCTGGAATACGGTGGCTTTTACTTCGTGGTTCACCTCCTGGTTTTGCGGCAAATCCTTTTTCACGGGAAAGTCTACCGCGTTGAGACGAATATTGCTCAGCTCCAACGCGGGAGCCGCCCGTTTTATGGCGCGGAGGTTAAGTTGCACTTCTTCACCCTGGGTAAGGTATTCTTTGGTGGCGGTTAGCTCCACGTGCAGCCCCAGCATTTGGGCCATCAGGTTTTGCAACTGTCGGTTCAAATCTCTCCGAACATCTTCTTGCGCCAGCAACTGCGAGGCCTCCCAAAATTTCATCAGGGCCGGTATGCTGGCCGCGGGATTGCTCACATCGTAGTTCTCCAAAATCCGCTGCATCAGCTCATCGCCTTCGGGCCAGCCATAGCGTGCCCAGCCCGTATTAATGCCGTCAAAAATATGGCCGTCCAGTTTCTCGCCTTTTAAAAGCTGGAGGTATTCCTTCACCGAACCGCGGTCAACCGAAACCCCAAAGCCCTGGCTTTTGTGCTGGGTGCGGCTAAAGCTGGCCAGCTCGTTGGTAGAAAAACCTAAAACCGGGTTGTATTCGCCAACTTCTACTACCGTGTAATCGGGGTTGGCCTGGGCAATGCTGTCTAAATTTTGGTTCCACCAGGTGCTGTGGTTCCAGAAAATGCGTTTGGGCTGCCAGGGCTGAACGTATTCCAACTGCTCAGGATAGGCCGTTTCTTTGCCGGCAATATCGAAAGCCTCAAGCGCCAGCACCGCGCTGGCCGTGTGATGGCCGTGGCCTCCCCGTGCATCCGCTGGAAAGCGCGTGATAATCACATCGGGCCTGAACTTGCGGATAACCCACACTACGTCTGAAAGAATTTTGTCTTTGTCCCAGAATTCCAGCGTTTCCTCGGCCGTTTTGCTGTAGCCGAAGTCAACGGCCCGCGAAAAGTATTGCTCACCGCCATCAATGGCCCGGGCCTGCATTAACTCCTGCGTTCTCAATACGCCCAGTTGCGCGCCCAATTCGCTGCCAATGAGGTTTT